ACCACCATCCCCAACGTCGCGAAAGACCCCATGCCTAACAAGCACGACACACCATGCCTTAGCTGCGCTAATCCATCAGAGTGCACATTGCGCGGGGTCATCATTTGCAACGCTCCATAAATTGAGCCCCTTCGGCGCCAGAGGGCAAACGAATGGTGCAATGATTGGGGCTCTGGGAGCACGTTTAACAGGCCGTTATATCAATCTTGATGGTGTGCAAGAAACCTTACAAATATTTTCCTGTAATTCAAAGTGTTCAAAGTGGCGCACGAACGGCAGCCGCCCAATGCGACACACATACAAACCGGTAAATGGAGTGCACAGGATTCGGGAGTTGATCTACCCTGCGGAAGTCAGCAGACCTTCTGAGACATGAGATTGGCGCGCCATCTGGGCTTGGAGGTTCTGGAAGATGGTCCGACGTCCAACCGCATGCCTTTGGTTACGTTCGTTTGTGCAGGACGCAGCCGCCCAGTCATATATTTTTTCCAGGTTTTGATTCAAAAGTATGTGTAAATGGCAGTATTTTATCGACTAAGCTTTAAACTGTTGAGTTGAACATTCATGCGTCGCAGACGTGCCGCATGAGTTTGACACATTTTCTTGTGTGGCTCAGCAAGCCCGTGTTGAATACATGCTGGTGCTTGCGCTTCGTTTAGTATGTAGGCGGTGTGGCACTGTGGAAAAAATATGATTTCAATCTATCGTACATGTACCCTTGTCTAACAGAGATTGTGTTCATGACCTTGAATTCAATCGAACAGGGGATGCCGATGCCGGCACAGCAATAACCGCCTTGGCACACCGGCAATCAATATGCCGCCCTTTGAGCAAATGTGCCGGGTTCGTGCGAATCTGCCGTGTTTGCAGCGGAATGTGCAGGGTTTGAAATAGATATGCCGTCCGAGTTTGGTCTATCCCGCTCATTCCCCGTGTTAGCTATTCACGCCCTACCCCACGCAGGTGTCTTTCCGGCCTTGGCCGGACCAATAGTCTTGGCTTTGGCCTCCCTCCCATCCTAGGTAAGTCATTAGTGCTCGTTCTCGCCATTTTAATTGAAACAAATATGCACCCCGATCTTGTAGTGTGTCCTTCATTATCACGCCGATCACTGGTTTTCGCCTTGCGCGCTTTTTTGCGCTGCGGTTACGCATCTTCATCCCCGTCGCTATTACACTCATAGTCAGTTGCTGCCACGTCAGATAACCTTCACCTACCTCGGGGTGGTCTCACCGTCACTCCTCCCTTTGTGTTTGCTGCCTTCGCCGACTCCGTGTCCCTGTTTTTGTAAGTAAGTCATCATGTTCCTTTGTCTTCCTCATCTGTTACGGTCCCCAGGCACGACCGCACCTCGCCGTTTCCGAGTACGCGCTCCTCTGGCTGCAGGCTCACCCACCACTGACACTGGGTTCAAGTATGACAGCATTTTTCATCAAATATTCGAGCTTTATTCTGAAGTCACTGTTTGAAGTTGACCTCCTCGCAATGAACACATGGTTTGAGCCGGAACTTGTTAGTTGAAGTTCCCAGGCTCGGCTGGATTATGTCTCGCAAGTGTTGAGAGATTCATGGACAATATTTGTGAGCTGTGCCGCCTCGGAGGAAAATTCTACCAACCTGGAACCCGTAAACGGACACAATTTAATGTGAATTGAATACCATTTGAAGAGGTACTGCTGACCCTTCCTATGCAAGAAATAATGATAATTTCTTGTCTGTCCTGAGGCGTAAGGATACAAGTTTTTCATTCGACTCGTGAATGTTGAACTTCAGCTTCAAAGTTCAACTTCCGGTTTAGTAGCTAAGCGCGTCAAAAAGTTCAAGTTGAGCACTGAATCATCGGAAAATCTACAGCTTCGCACCTCGTTGGCCATAAACCTTGAGTATTTGATGAAAAATGTATAAACTCATTTTTCATCAAATATTCTAGTTTCATCACTAAACTAATGCGAGGCAGTGGATTCTGCTACAGTTCAATACTCAGTCCGAACATTCCGAGCATCCGGAACATCTTCAGCGAAAATTTCCAAAAGGGGAAGTACAGCCGGAAGTCGAAGTTTCGAAGCGAAGTTCAACCAGTGCGAACATGAACTGCACGGATTTTAGGTTTGGTTTGCCAATGAGCTTCCTGTGGTTTTTATGGGGCTGCTTGTGGATTCCATTCCCTGCAAACAGCTGCTGCAGCATGTTTACCATATTTGGGTTATCCAGGTCAGAACAGGTCAGGTGTTTCACTACTCACATCGTAATAAGTTGACAAGAGTCTGAATAAAGATAGCCTCAGTATCGAGTGGTAGGTTTGATTAAAAGTATTACCTGGGAGTAGCAGCAACGAGTCCTTTTGTTAGAATGAAGGGGGATGAGGGAGATGGGCGAGGTGACCATCAAGCTGGCTCTATAAATCAATTTGAAGAATGTCAGCATTGTCCAAGCGAACCATGGTGCAGCCATATTTAGTAATCCGTGTTTAACCGACCTTGATGGTTTTGGCATGAGGTAATGAATCACCACGGGAGCCGGTAACCGAACCACAGAGGCCTGCTAGCAAACTAAATGGTTATCAGAGGTCTACCACTGTCAGCTCAAGTGAACCACAGCAGTCCCAAGCCCTGTCAACTTCGACTAGAGGTGATGATTGAAACTTCAACTAACAAGTTCCGATTCACATCACGTGTTCGTGATGGCAGCTGAACTTCAACCACTGAGTTCAGGACAAAGCTCGATTTTTTGATGAAAAATGCTGTCATATCGGCAAAATCTTCGGTCTAGCCGAACCTGAACCTCCAGTTGAGGGTAATTCAATGAACCTGAACCCCGAACCTGGTGTTCAGTTCGGTTCAGTTCAGGTTCGAACCGATTATTTGAACCGAACCTTTCCATCACTAGTAATACTGTGAATATTCAAGTTGATGCTCACTTGCTTCATAGCTGAAGAATCCATGGTTCAGGATTGAAAGCTGACAGGGAAAGTGGGTTTGGTGTGTGGTACACCGCTCTCTCAGATGGGCAGTGAAAGCCGAGCGCTATGAAGCAGCAGATCTAGATTCGACTTCCAGCACCCGGATAAGTATCCATAGTATTGTCCCGACACAATTTTTTTTTTTTTTTGACCCTGCCCTCTCTATCATTAGATAGGATGCGCAAAAGCCGCATGGGCCGCATGTGGCTTCATACGGCTTTCGTGCATTGCGCAAAGCCGCACCAGAAAATTTGTTTGGGCATGAATCCAAAGCCATATTTTGAATATCATACATGCAATTAAGTGTACCGGTCGCGTCTGGTGAATCTGGTGTATGGTGAGTGTTGAATTTGATGATCAATCCACTGCAACATCGTGATGTCATCCCATTAGCCGCGCAGTGAGGTTGGAAATGCCGTCAAAATAGTGCATTTCTCACACGTGCTCTGCAAGTGAATTCAATGATACTCAAGAGGCACAGGGTTCAAGCCTGGAATACAGGTTTGAAAGCCATTGAACTCATAATCATATATATAAAAACCAAAAATCCCATGCGGCTTTGCGCAAGTGCCAAAAGCCACATGCGGCTGATGCGCATCCTATCTATTCTCTCTGCGAGTCGCATTCAAAGTCCAGAAGAGGCTGGCCGAAAATGAGTGCGGTTGTGGTCGGATTGAGCACCATTGCGAATACTTATTTAAGCTACTGCATTATGCTATACCTTGCCTCACGGCTGATTAATCCCTGGTTCAAGTAGGATTGAAAGCTGGTAGGGAAGGCGGGTGTGGTGTATGATACACAGTTGCCTCAAATAGTCAATGTCTACACCATTTTGAGGTAGCAGATCTGGGTTCGACTCCCAGCCCCTGCATATATATTAACCACTTCGACCTTTTTGACCCCGCGGTATTTGGGTTCGTGGTCTTTTTGTTTTGGAGTCAAATTCTGAAGGGCGGATCGAAAAGAATGATTCACTGATTTTGGTTTACAGTTTAAGGTTGCAAGTCGATTGGATTGGAACAGTAACACTGAATATTTGAGTTAATGCTCGGACTTGCCTATAGCTGAGTGATTTCTAGTTTAGGGTTGAAAGCTGGTAGGGACAGTGGGTGTAGTGTGCGGTACACGGCGGCCTTCTATATCCAAAACTCATCATATAGAATTTGGAGCCGCAGATCTGGGTTCGACTCCCCGGTTGGATTGGGACAGCACAGCAACACTGCAATTATTCAAATTGCCACTGGAGGAACCACTCACTCACATTTCCGGAAAATTCAATTGTAAGTACTAGTAACTGATATACCAGTGACGATCCAGATGTATTTTTGACTTAGTAATACATACGGTCGCCAGACGGAAAGGTGTAAATACTCACTGGCATCAGTGGAGATGAGAAGGAACACTGAAGAAAACAATCTATGGTTTCGTGGTTGGATGTTGCACTCCCCTCTTGTTTCTTTCATGAGTTCCATTAGATTCAGACTCCAGAGAGGGCTGGACAAAAAGAGTTATTTGATGAATTCAGTTTACAGGTTATTGTTGGATTGGATTACTGGAATACTGCGAGTATTCAATGTACTTGGTGCTACCACTTGGGGTATTGGCAATAGTTACTGAATTGGGTTCCTCTTCTTACACTGCCTCATGGCTGATTCATCCCTGGTTGAACTCCAGTTGAAAATAGGTAGGAAATGCGGGTGTGGCTGTAGGGTGCACCTGCCTTCATTAAATACTAGCACTGCCAACAATTTAAGCAGCTGACCTGGGTTCGACTCCCAGCCCCTGCATAAGTATTCTAACCTTTTTGACGCCGCGGTATTTGGGGTCGTGGTCTTTTATTTATTTATTTATTTTGGAATCGGATTCGGAAGCCAGAAGGGCGGATCGAAAAGAATGGTTCACTGGTTTTGGTTCAACTACAGTCTAAGGTTGCAGTTGGATTGGATTGGATTGGGACAGCAACACTGAACATTTGAGTTAATGCTCGGACTTGCCTATAGATGAATGATTCCTGGTTTAGGGTTGAAAGCAGGCAGGGAAGGCGGGTGTGGTGTGCGGTACACGGCGGCCTTCCATATCCAGAACTCATGGTATCGAATTTGGAGCCACAGATCTGGGTTCGACTCCCAGCCCTTGCATAGATATTCCCTCCACTTCGACCTTTTTGACGCCGCGGTATTTAGGGTCGTGGTCTTTTTGTTTTGGAGTCGGATTCTGAGGCCAGAAGGGCGGATCGAAAAGAGTGGTTCACTGATTTTGCTTCAACTACAGTCTAAGGTTGCAGTTGGATTGGATTGGGACAGCAACACTGTGAATATTCAAGTTAATGCTCGGACTTGGCTATAGCTGAATGATTTCTAGTTTAGGGTTGAAAGCTGGTAGGAACCGTGGGTGTGGTGTGTAGTACATGGCTGCCCACATTTTCCCCTTTCGAAACTGAAGCAGTGGATCTGGGTTCAATCCCCAGCACGCGCCTCATCTTGCTAGCGTCTTTTTTTTGACTCCGTGATTGGGGTTGTTGTTGGAATCCTGTATCGTTTTCTTTCCGTGAATTGCATTTGGGGGAAAAAACATGGAATGAATGGATCAGTGATTTTTAATTTGGTTTACAGTCTCAGACCACGGTTGGTTGGATTGACAGCATTGACAACACTGTGAATATTCAAATTGCCACTGGAGGAACCACTCCCCCCACATTTCCGGAAAATTCAATTGCACTAGTAGCCAATCTAATTACCAGTGACAACCAAGATGTATGTACTACGAGTATGCGGTCGCCAGACGGAAAGGTGTAAATATTCACTGGCATCAGTAGGATGAGAAGGAACACTAATTTATAGGTGCAAGCCTTGGAAGTGTGAACAGAGGAGTGGGTGTACTGGTGTAATGGTTGCACGAGACCCAGTGTGTGTCTCTGCACGTTTGCAAGAGGCCCAGTGTGTGCATCTGCAACACCTCCGGGTTCGATTCCCGGCACCCGCTTTTTTTACTCGGTTTGGTGACTGTTTTCGTTCACCATTCCACGAGGCCCTTATTGTTATCCTTTTGCTTCCCTCCGTTATTTTTTGAACGATAATTGCCAGCGTTTGGGAAATGCTGTTGAAATGGCTGCCGCATCAGACACATTTCCTGACGAGTCGTCTTCTGAACTTCTTTCTGAGTCAGATTGCGTGGACATTTCGACCAGAAACGCCTGATCCGAGTATTCAATTAACGCGCCGCGCCCGAGAAGCACATATCTGTTGCGCCCACATCGACGTTTCGGTGATGGCCAGTGTGATGTGACGGGCGTGACTCTCTCCCTTCTCCGCATCGCTCGCACTACTCGCAAGCCTCCGCTCGTCGCTCGGATAGCTCGTGTTCGTTCTGCTGCTCGTGTATGGACGGTACAGCAGGAAACGACTCCCCGCCCCCGCGCAGCACCATTCTCGGCTCCTTCCTCGGCCGCGGGAGACCCCGTAACAGCTCTCAGTCCCACATCGACGTCCCCAGCCCCAACCCGAATTTCAGTCACCCTATCCCAGCCAACTCGCACATCCCACGAGAGCTGTCGCCGTCTCCGCCCAACGCCCACGCAAACCCGCCCTCGCCCGCATTCGGCAATAATCCGATGACGTTCGGTGTCCCCGCCGGCAACACTACTGGGAGAAGAAACGCCCGGCACACGGGCCCGCCGCCGGTGCAGACCGCGCTGGCGCTGCAGACCGCGGGGAGCGGCGCGCCTCCCAGTGCAAGCGGTGGAGGAGGACTCAGTCTGGGGCATATGTTGCGAAGAAGACGCAGCGCGGGGAATGTGAATGCGGGCGTGCCGCCGACGCCGGTGCAGGGTGTGCCCGTGCTGCCCACGACGGGCTCGCGGGCAAGTGCGATATTCGGGCAGGCGCCCGCCGAGCACGCTCCAGCGCCACCTCCGCATAATAATCATGGAGCCCACGGCGGCACGCACCGCATCCGGCTCGTCCCGCACCTCGACTCGCGACGCTCCCTCCGCTTCGACCCCATCGCGCGCGACCTCAAGCCGGGCGAGCCCGCCCTCCGCATCGGCCGCTTCACAGACCGGTCCGGCCTCGGGCTCGCCGCCGTCAACGCGCTCAGCACGAACAAGATTGCGTTCAAGAGCAAAGTCGTCAGCCGCGCGCATGCGGAGGTGTGGGTCGAGCATGATGGAGGGGGGACGCGGTTCTTGATCAGGGATACGAAGAGCAGCAGCGGGACGTTCTTGAATCATGTGCGGCTCAGTCCGGCGAATGCGGAGAGGTGCGGCGTCATCGTTTGTGGTGTTTTACAGCGTGCTGACGATTTTCTCGTTTCTCTCTCTCTCTCCTTGTACTTGTTCCCGTGTGCTAGGTATGCGGGTCTCTAACTTATGCGTTCTCGGTGTGCTGACAACGTTTTCCCTTCTCCCTCGCTACCTTCTGCTGCCGCCCGACCCGCTCGCGCACAGTCGCCCACACCCCCTCAAAGACGGCGACATCCTCCAGCTCGGCGTCGACTACCAGGGCGGCGCAGAGGACATCTACAAGTCCGTCAAGATCCGCGTCGAGATTGGCCGCGAGTGGCAGAGCGGCGTTAATGCGTTCAAGTGCGTATGCGTCTCATTCTGTTTCCTTTTCTTTTCTTTTCTTTTTTGTTTCTTTCGTTGTGCTTTCGTGTTCTCGAGCGATGGGTGATCGCTCGTCGTTCTGCGTGGACTTTTTTTTTCTCTTTTTTCTGCTTCGTTTTCTGGGGAGGGTAGAAGCAGGGTTCCTATACTCTTGCCCTGCGGGTTCGCGGCCCGTTCTCGTTGCCCGCCTGCCTTTCTTTCCTCCCCCAGCGGACGCGGACGCGCACTTTTTGGGCAGCGCCGACGTTTCCGGATCTTGTGCGTCTGGCAGGGGGCGCCGTGCGGCCTGTCTCGGCGTCTTTGGATTCGGAGCCGGGGACCCGTCTCTCGCTTGGTGTGGGTAGGATACGAGATACGGGATACGGGATACGGGATACTCTATCCGGACGGCTCTTCTCGCGTTCCGTCCTGGTGTGCGGTTTTTTCGGTGTCTTTTCATTCATTATCTTTTCATCTTTATTTTCGACCTGTGCGTGCATCCATCCTGTCGCGGCGTCTTTGGCGCGGAGCCGGAGCCGGTGCTGTACCTGGACCTGTCTCTCGCTTGGGTGTGGGTGGGGTACGCGATACTCTATCCGGACGGTTTTTGTCGCGTTCCGTCCTGGTGTGCGTTTTTTCGGTATCTTTTCATTATCTTTTCATTTTCGACCTGTGCATCCATCCATCCGCGGCGTCTTTGGAGCTGGCGCTGGCGCCGGGCCGGTGGTAGATGTGTTCCGGTGCTGTACCTGTACTGGTGCACTCGAGTCGTGTGCGGGGATTTTCTTTATGGTGCATTGCTCCTGTCGCTGTCGCTGTCGAGCGGTGTGCCTCACGAGTCACGAGACGTGGTCAGGGTGTACCTCGCGAGACTCGTGACTGGCTCTGGGCTGCTCTGGGTCGAGTCTCGATCTTTCATTGTCTTCTGTGTCATGGGCGGGGACCCGTCCTGTCCTGTCTGCTGGACGGACTTCATCGTGTCGCGGGCTACACACTCACGCGTCCGCGTCCTATTCGGTGCATCATCATACATCGGATTTGCGCGTGGGGCCCCTTTCCGTCTTATGTGTGGACGAAATTCAAATTCGAATTCGTCGTCGAGTTTGAGTTTGGGCAGGTCGTGTGCATGTGCAGGGCTCAGTATCATTTCGTCGCAAGGCAAGAACGAGACCAGAGTTCCGGAGGGGAGCCTCAGGCTCTTGGGACCTGGGGTCGTGTGCTGAGGCTTGGGGATCCGGGGATGCGGTACCGAGCTCCCTCGGGCCCCGTCCGTCTGTCCGTCTGTCTTCTTGTGATGGATGTTGCTTTCCCACCAGACATACACCATACGGACGCCGAATTCGAGATTCGTATGTTCCTGGTGGAGCCCCTGATTCGCGGCCGCGAATGGTTACTTCCTCGGACGACGCGAGCGATCAGGAGCGTGTCGTTACTCGCGTTTCTGCGAGTGGGCACCCGTTTCGTCCTCCTTTCCCTCCTCCTTGGGTTTGGCATTGCGACGCGATCGTGTCTGGCAACGCCGCGATTGGCGATTTGCCATTAGGCTTTTTTTATTTCCAAATTGGGAATGGGGATGCGTGATGGCGGTCGTTATGTTTTGGGCGTTGTCGTTATTTCTCTCGTTATATTTCTACTTTCACGAGCTTTCACCTGCTTTCTCATCCATTCCTTCCTTCCTTCCTGCATCTTGGTTCTCGTCCCCGGCTTTCTATTTTACCGTTCTCGTTCTACGCCGCCGCTCGCCCTGTCATTTCTTTGCGTTCGTCGACGGCCTTCTCATTTCGCCGGGCGCCGGTAGCGTCTCCTGTTTCGCCGATTCTACTCTCGCCTCGCTTCCTTCTCTCGAGCTTGGCTAGGGCCCGCGTTAACGCCTGTTCGCCTCGCTACGCTACGACCCACCCAGTCTTTAAGACTGACGATACCCGATACCGCTCCTTCTACTCTCGCTCTCTATTCTATTCTATTCTCCCACCTTTGCCTTTACTCGCCGCTCGCCACCTACGCACATGACCACATACGGCTTCTACGGCTTCGGCGCGGCGTGCGACCCGCGCGTCATTCGCGCCGTGGTCGTGCGCGCGGCGCCCGCGTGCCGCCGCGTGCGGGGCGCGCTGAGGAAGAGGGTGCGCGGGGTGTGAGTGTTTTGAGTGTTTGTTTGCGTGTTGCTGCTACTACTGCTCTCTCTCTCTCTCTCTTTCCCTTTCGTATTTTGGCTACTCTTCACCTGCCTTTTATTGCTACGCAAAGTAGAAACGATGCTGATACATTTTTGTTTTCTTTCTTGCAGCACCGCGGCGCTCAAGAACCTCAAGTCGCTCGCTATTGCGCCCGCTGCTGCTGCTGCTGCCGGCGCGGGGGGCCCGAGCGATGTTGGTGCAAGTGGGACGGGGACGGGAAAGAGGCGGAAGGGGACAAGCATGGGGATTCCGGATTGCTGTATTTGTGAGTGGTCTATCTCACTTCTCCCTTTGCGTTCCTTCTGCCTTTGCGTCCACTCTGCCTCTGCCTCCCCCCTCTCCTCCCCCGTCCCCTCTTCCTCTGACCTTCTTCTTCCCC